TGATCAATAGCCAGCATGGAAACTTTAAAGGGCTTCATCATATGAGCCTAGGACCCAACCACTATCTGCATGGGAGGCGCCCCTCTACTCTTCTTATGAAGCTTACACTACTTGGTCAGAGTGGGGCTCTCAAGGAAATCCAACTCAAATGACAGCAGCTTGGCCTAGTTGGGAGCTGAAGAGCTCTCCAAAAGCTCCCATCACTCCTCACACCAGAATTAAGGTACCACATTCCTTTCCCTTGTATATACCATGCATTTGTTTTTTAGTTTATGTTTATATGTTTGTGTTGCTTCTCTCTTTCACTCTTTTATTACACAAGGGACTGTGTAATTTAAGTGTGGGGGGAGAGATTTGGGGATTGACTTTGTGTTTTATTTTCTTAGTTTTATATGCATTCTTCTTTGAGTCTCATGCATACATGCATACATATAAATGCATAAAAAAACACAAAACAAATCAAAATTTTTTAAAAACATTTGTATCTTTTGCAAACCAAAAAAAAAAGCATATAGTTGCATTCATTTGTTTAGGATTAAGTCTAGTGTTTCCATATAGGTTGCATTTCATTTGCATAGGGCACAATGATGATAATTCCTTGTAAAATGCTTAGTGTTTAGAAATGATTTCAATGGCTAAGTGGTTAAGTGTTTGATGCATCATGAAAAGTTAGAAGTTAAGGTTAAACAATTTAAAAAATGCTAAATTTGATTTTTTCATCTCATGCTGAAACCATTTGTTCATTGAAAATCAACTCTATCCTATTAGAACCTTAATTTAAAATTGAATTATCATGTTTGTGCATTGAAAAGTGATTTCATGGCTACCATATACATACTTGGATTATCTTCTTCCCTTCTTACCACTCTTGTTAATCCAAGTAGCTGATCCTCATCATTATAGGACAGTTAATCCACACCCTAAACCAATCCTATTTCCTGAACTTAAACACTTTTGTGAGGGTTGTGAGGCCTCGCATTCATATTTTCGAATTTAATCTTGGCAAAAAGTGTTACTGTCAAGGAGAAGCTCTCTTGTTGATACCAGCTTGCATGTTGAGCTTGGTACTAGGTTAGGAGTTTGGGAAAGGATAGTATTAAGTGGTTTCAGTTTCATTGTTTATATCTTTTAAGAAGAAGAAGAATTATGGGAATGGTAGTGTGGGGGAAACAAGTTATTTTGTGGTTAAGTAATTAAGGAAAATAGCTTTAAGTGTTTAAGAAAAGAAGGTGCCTGCAACAACTATGCTTACAAGGGTCATCCAAATGGAGAAATCAGGCCAAAGCAATCCACCAAAGGTGATGAGAATGGCGCCTAATCAACAAAAGAAGAGCAAAGTCCAAAAAGGAATCAACCACACAAGCAAAGAAAGAGTTACCCCACATATGAAGAAGAAAGAGATCAAGTGCTTTGGGAAAGGGTAGACTTAGGGATTTTACTTTGGGTTTAGAAGTTATTAGGTTCATCTTTGGGTAAAAGGGTAAAAAAGAGCTTAAACTTGCATGCATAAGTGTGCTTTTACCTTTAGCATTTTGCCGGAGATAGAATCATTTCATTGAGTGATCCCTTGAATCTTTGAACCCTTACTTGAATGAGATTATTTTCATCTCATAATCATACCCTTAGACCAAATGTTTTTACTTAATTTGCACAAACTTGATTCATTAATTACATGTTTAATAAATGTTAAAGAGTTGGTTGATTTGAACACTTGTCTAGGCTGAGATTTGAGATCATTTTGAAACAGGATAAGCATAGCTAAGTTCTTTAAAATATGACTGATCATGATTTGCATCCTACAATTATGCACTTGGACATTGATTTCAGTTCTTTACCTCAACATTTTTGGATTTGAGTGCTGACCTTTAAACCTCATCCTCCATTTGTCTTAGTTTGATTACTTGAGGGCAAGCAAAATACAAGTGTGAGGGTGTTGATATCTCTCATGTTTGCATTATTTAGGCTTGCATTTAGTTAATGTTTTCGTCTCTTTTTGCATGTTTTCCTTTGCTTTTGTCCCATTTTCTTTTGTTTTTAACTTAGGTTGCATTTAGGTTGTTGTTTGCATTTTCTTTGCATAAGGGATGTTTTCAGGTACCTAAGGAGCCATTAACAAGGAGGAAGCATAGGAATGATTCAGAGAGTTGCCCCAGCCAAGGAGGATCAAGATGAGCTAAGGAAGTGGAGTTTTTGCCCAGCATCGAGCTAGGAGGAATCCACATCGCACGATGTAATGCACCCGAGGATAAAGGAGTTCACATCAAGCATTGACATTGAGCAAGGCAACACGATGTCAAGTAACGGGACACCCACATCGAGCGTACACATCACACAATATAAGAGGGCAGGAGCTACAAAGTGTTACATCGAGCATCAACATCGAGCCAGTCTGCTCGATGTCAAGCACCCAAGGGAGCAACATCAAGCACTCACATCCAGCTCCTAGCTCGATATCAGCCTCATCCGAACTAAACTTAATTACAATAATGCCATTTCTTTAGGGTTTTTATCATTTAGTATAAATACTCTTTAACCTAAGGGTTTTAACCAAGGCTTGTTCTTGCTTTTGTCTCTTAATTGGTTTCTGGTTTTTGTAAGAACAAGATCCTTTCTTTAATCTAAGTTTTTGTATTTGCAATCTTAATCTTTCTTAATCTTTCTCTATAATCATGTTTAACATATTTTTCCCAATGGATTTGATGGTTTACATGATGATGAGTGGGTAGTTATCTTATAGGTTCTTAGATATGGTAGATTATGAGAATTTAAGGCTTGAATAGGATTTGTAAGTGCTTAATATTGATTGATTCCTCTCTATTAGTCTGTTTTAAGCTAGATATATGTTGATCACATGAATCTTGAACTAGGCTTTCTCTTATGCTCACCAAGTCTTTGATGTAATGCTGATCTTGTTTTTTAGAGGATTTACTTGTCTTAGCTCAAAGGATTGATTGCTTAAAAGTATTTTGGCTTAAATAAGACTGTTTTAGCGTGCTTACTATTGATTTAACACTAATGAGAGTTAGTTCTAGTTAGGATGTTTAGCAAAGTGTTATTTGCCAAAAGATTGGATTTAACTTGCTTGATTGTGAACTCTATGCCTAGGAATTAGCATTACTTGCTTGTTTGCATTGTTAATGAGATTGATAACAGCCTAATCTTGCCTTTGAATTCTCCAAACTCCATAACCACATCTAGAATCCTTGTTTTTATTATCTGAATTTCAAAGTTTGCTTAGTACTCTGTTTTGTGTTTGATCATTGCTAAGTATTGCTTTCACTAGTCTTGCTTAGTCTTTGGTTTACTTAGATTGATTAGTTTAATAGTTTAAACAACTCATTCTTTGTTTTAGGTTGACTTAAGACTTCTATTGCATTCCTAGTGGTATCTATCTTAGACCTTTAGATTGATGAAAACCTTATGCTATAATAAAATTGCTAGTACAAGCTTGGGTGATTGAGAAAGGAACTCAAAAATCATGTATCAACCGCTTCTCTCTCATTTTCCCTTGACTTTTTCCCCTGAAACGATGCTGATGTACTTTGTGGTGGAGAGCAATTTGTGACCCCTTCTTTCTCATGGACAACTTATCTACTTGCTTCTACAAACCTCAGAATCAGCATCTTCTTGAAGTCAGCCCAATCTACAAATCTTGTTCGGCGCATCATACGACTGAACCACTCATAGGCAACTCCTTACAAGTAAAGGAATACGAGGTCTAGTTTTGCTTCATCTGCCCAATGTTCGAAGAAGTTCTCCACTTTGTCCAGCCAACAATCCGGATTTGATCCATCAAACATCGGAAGCTTAATTTGTTCTAATGTGCTTTCACGATTTGCAATAATCAAATTCTCAGATGTATATCCTAACTGTGATACACTCTGGTTTCGTTTCAGGTCAGAATCATTTACCTGGATTTGCGTTCGTGATGTCTCGGGATTTTGTTGGGGACCTTCTTCCGTCGCTTTACCCTTTGAATTTAGATCTTCCTGAAATGACATCATCTTGTATCCACCATTGACAAAGGCATCAATTTCAGTATCGATTAAATATCCAAGATTCGTCATCGTCGTGTTGCGTCGTCGAATCTTTAATTGAACCTTCATAGTCATCATCTTCATCGCTCGAGTCGCTGTTGCCATTGTCGCGTTAGATTTGAAACGGTTTCACCGCACCATTGTTAGAGTATAGATTGTTAAACTCTTTGAAATGTATTGATTGTATAGAATAAATTGAGAGAAGTACAACGAATGATCTTGATCACATACAATCAAGATCCTGATCACATACAATCAGTGAATCGCACATACGCGATTTTTTTTCCACTATGATCTTTCTCAATGGTCCCTTCTGTAAAATTATTAAAGTTACTTATACTTCTTCCTTCGACAATATTTCACTCGAGTTTGTCCAGCTCAGCTCTCCTTATTCGCCACTTGCTCTAAACTTATCTCCTCTCCGCTTACATTCTTCTTCCTCTTACGATACATGTTTGATGATGTCTATCATGTACATGGGTCAAACTCCTGAAGATATTGTGAAAGCTTACCAAAAAAATGTTCCCGAAAACTTCCTCACTCATCTGTCCACACCGATTGAATAATTGAACAAAGCCACTAGTGATCCTAACTAATCCTAAAGAGTGTCAAGTAAACAGAATCTGAAAACATAACATGAAAATCTTATAAGTTTAATCAATACCCAGATTTTAAATGTTTTTATCTCGATCACCTATCTAGAAATAAATCTCAAAAAATATAAACACAACCGATATTAAAAAAAAAGAAAATTTTGGATTATGAAAGCTGAAAAATTCTTTTAACAAAAAGAACCATGAAATCTAGTAACACAACAACATCCATCTTTTGTCTGGAAAATGATACAACGATAGTCAACAGACAACAGTATTCTGTAACCATATGAATACATAAAATAGCAAAACAACACATGATAAAAAGGATAATTTAGAGGCCTCAGATAATTATGCCTTTCAGTGAATTTCAACGTCTGGCTGTTCTTCTAGCTTTAAAGAACATGTCTCTGATTGAGATTAACTCCTTTGTGGCTTCACTCGTTGCCAACCGGTTCACTGGAGATTCTTCACAACACCTAAGTCCCACCTCCAAAATTAGTGTCAAGCATTCAGCCGCAGGAAAACCGACTCTGAGACCGTTGTGAAGAATTGATTCATCTGCAATGTCCAACACTTGCTCTGGCAATGCTGATTTGATGTAGCTGTGGATGGTAAAGTTTCCCGCAAATAACTTATTGGTTGGTCTTTTTCCAGTGAACATTTCCAAAATCAGAATCCCAAAGCTGTACACATCACCATGTATTGATGGTTGTCCTCCCGTTCCATACTCTACATCATAATTCATGGAAACAAGATTGTAATGAAAAAATGTGTTAATTTTATTCATAGAATATTATGTATGTGTGATAGTTTTACCTGGTGCAGCATAGCCGATGGTTCCTCTAACACCAGCTGAACTTAGTTGGTTGAAGAAGGACTCTTGATCGGACTTGAGAAGAAGACGAGCGAGACCAAAGTCACTAACATGGGCAGTCAAATCATTGTCTAGGAGGACGTTGCTTGGCTTAATATCGCAATGAGCTATAGGTTCATGACAATGAACATGAAGATAGTCCAAAACCGAAGCCACATCTATGGCAATGTTGAGCCTTTCCAGAAGTGTCAAGGATCTTGAAGGCCTACAAACCTCTTCCACTTCCTCTGGGTGCAGCCACATATAAAGGCTTCCATTAGGCATGAACTCATAGACAACAGCTCTAAATTCGTTTCCTTGAAAATCAGTACTCGAACAAACCGTCAATAGTTTCACGAGATTACGATGTCTTATGTCCTTCAAAGATTCACATTCAGCCATAAAGCTCTTCATTGCTCCACGTCTCTGCATGTTTAGAACTTTCACTGCAACAATCTTGTTTTCTGCTGGGAGAAAAGCTTTAAACACAGTACCAAAACTACCTGACCCAATCATATTGCTCGAGGAGAAGCCATCAGTCACATTTCGGATCTCTCCATAACTCATCTTCTCATGAAAAACCTCCAATGTTGAAGGAGTTGAATTATTAGCGTGCTGGTTCTTCTTTCTTTTTCTGAACCAACATAGAGAAACTGAAGCTATGAATAACAGCAAAAGCAAAGCTATACCTACGCTGACCCCAATCACAAGTTTCTTTGAAAGAGAAGAATGCTTTGATCCCATCGATGGTGTTTCATTAAAGCATGGCTTTAGTTTGAATTCATTGATGCCTCCACATAGATTTTTGTTTCCAAATACTGAAACTATAGTAGCATTCTGAAACTTTCCTTCTGTTGGCACACTTCCTGCAAAATTGTTAACAGATAGATTGAGATACTCCAACGAGGATAAGTCTGCAAGATATCCAGGTATACTCCCAAAGAGACTATTGTTCGAGAAATCTACTCTTTTAAGACCGTTCAATCCTCTTATATCCGGAATGGCTCCATCAAAATAGTTCCCTTGGAGAAAAAGTGTAACCATCGAGAGACAACTTCCCAAAGAATTTGGAAGTTCGCCGGATAATTTATTATGCGCAACGGATAATCTAACAAGATTTTCAAGTCGCCCAACATCTTTTGGTAGATAGCCGGTCAATAAATTATCTGAAATGTCTAGTTCAACAAGGGATTGAATCCGCACAATTTCCCGAGGTATAGGCCCATCCAACTTATTAGACCCAATCCATAAGAACCGTAGCGAAGTACAATTACCAAGGCCCGGTGGAATGGTTCCTTCAAAGCTATTGTTAAACAAGTACAGTGTGTCTAAACGAGTGATGTTTCGTATAGAAGATGGTATCTCTCCAGATATACTATTTAAATTAAGTTCTAGTGTTCCTAATTGTAAAAGCATACCAATCGAGGCCGGGAGTATACCTATCAACTGATTTTCTTGTAACTTAAGTGCTTGTAGGTTTATGAGATGCCCAATGTTGTGAGGAATGCTTCCACAGATGAAATTGTTTCCAAGATTTAAACCGTACAGGTTTCTAGACAGATTCCCAATGGAGATAGGCAAGTGACCGCCAAGCCTATTTCCATAAACTGTTAAAACTTTTAGTTGGGTGCAGTTAGTCAAAGCACCAAGAAATTCAAGATCTCCAAACGAGTGACTTCCTAAAGAATTATTAAGAAGAGCCATGTATTGCAAATTCCGCAATTTTCCAAAACTCGGAGGAATACTTCCCGTGAGATTGTTGTTATCGATTGCCAACCTTTTGAGAGTAGAGATATTGGAAAGTGTTGTTGGAATGACTCCTTTGAAATAATTACGTCCCATATTTAACTCTAGCAGATTTGGTAACAGCTCACCAAAATCAGATCTCAGAGAACCCGTGAAATAATTATCGCTGATGGATAAGTACTGAAGTAAGGAAAAATTATAGATTTGGGGAGGAAAAACACCAGAGAATTTGTTGATGGATATATCAAGAAAGACCATTTGATTCCAACTAATAGCTATTTCATATGGAATTTCTCCTTCTAGATTGTTATCATATATGCTAACTTGCCATATTGATGTCATGTTTCCTAGAGATGTAGGGAGCTTCCCTTTCAAATTGTTTCCACCAAGATTCAAATTGAAAAGATTCGTAAGTGACCCTATCTCTGAAGGAATACCTCCTCCAAGATGATTTGAATATAAAGAAAGGTCCACCAATCTTGAGCAATTAAATAGACCAATTGGAATCTCTCCTCTGAGATCATTTAAACTCATATCCAAGTATACAAGTCTAAACAAGTTTCCCACCTCGTGAGGGATGATTCCACCAAATGAGTTATTAGAGAGATCAAGTGATATTAGAAACGAAAGATTACCAATAGATGGTGATATCACTCCGCCTAATTGCAATCCTCCGAGGTGTAAATGAGTAACTCTCTTGTGTTTGTGGCCGCATGTAACTCCTTTCCAGTTGGACTGAGGGAATGAGTTATTCCATGAGGACAAGACATCTCTTTTGTTTTCAGAAACTTGAGACTTGAACTCCACCAACGCTTTCCTATCAGTTTCATCGGTAAAATGATATGCTTCAAGTAACATGAGAGCACTAAAAGAAAATAAAAGAAAGATGCTTCTCATCTTTTTTTTTTTTTGGGCTAACAGCTTTTCGTTCTTCTCATATATGAGACGAAGCTTTTGCTAAGAGAAAAATAAGGGAAATAAATACATTGGCTCGCAACCACAGATATATATAGAAAACTACCAGACTTTTCCAAAATCCCGTGGACTTGTAAGTCAACCTTCTTGCCCTCTGAGTCACGTCTCCCACTACTTTCTTTTCTTATTATAATACTAGGGCAGAACCTATGCTATACGTAGATCATGTTTTAATTCATGTTTTAAATAATATATTTTGTTCTTTTCAAAAAAATAATAATATATTTTGTATTTTTATCTTGATAATCAATATTCTCTTGCATTTTTTTTGTATGAGTGCTTATTTTATCTGCTTATTTTCTTGATGTTCTTTATAGTTTTTTTCAATAAATTATTTGAAAAATATATTTTAGTTCTTCATTTTCATATTCTTCCCATTCAGTTAAATTTTAATATTATTATATACTTTTTTAATTTATCATTTTGAATCTTTTTAAGATTTTTTTACTATTAATTTTATCTAAAAATAGTCAGAATTTCTGTAACGCTTAATTCAATTTTGTCTCATTATATCCTCAAATTGACATTTGTTTTATAGAAATACATTTTCATATGATACACACTATCTATTCCCATTTGTGAATGGGATAGAAATGAGAATTCTTGAACTCTCATTGAGAACAAATAGTATATTAACTATATATAATTGGATATACATCATGATTTATGTTAGTTATTCTTTAGTTTTGAAAATTTTGAAGTTTGTTTTCATTTGTGAAACAACTGATTTATATATGATGTGCTATTAGTAAATATATGGTTGACGAATATGTTTTGATTTTTTTTTAAAACAAATTTGTGTGGATATTCTGATCTCATATTGTCTCAGATTTTAAATAAAATCATATAAGATAATTATTTTAATTTTTATATTTTGGTATTTTCCGGTAGACTTTCAACCTAAATTATTATTCGCCCACTCCTAATTCTGTCAGTTTTTTCAAATTATAAACATATGATATTTTTATATCTATTTCTTCTATTTTTAATCTATTTTAATATAATTTTTTTTTCAATTGTTTATTAAGTTTTTTTTTTCGAATCACGGTTTTGAGATCTTTTTAATTTTTTTTACTGACATTTAAAATTAATTATTTTATGAATTCTAAAATAACAATAAAATCTTTTAAAAAGATGATATTATAAAAATGCTGATGTGTCAATTTTTTTGAGAAATCTCTTTATTTATTATACAGTAGATTTTTAAATGGTTTATTTATAGGAATTGATCAAGTTTCGTGATTAAATGGTTTGTATGTTGAAATTAACCAAGTTTCGTGTGCAAAGGGTTTATGTACATAGTAACATCATGGTCGTCTCGATCAATTTGTTCCTGATTTTAATGGCATCTCTAGATGAAACATTCGCTCCCAACCACATATAGAAATCTGCAAGACTTCTCAAAAATCCCGTGGACTTGTAGTCAACCTTCTGAGTCAAGTCATCCCAAGCCTCGTGACTTATAATATTTCAAAATTCCAAATGTTTTTTTTTTCCGTGTTCAAATGGTTTACTAGTAATAAGTTTCATGTTGAAAAGGTAAGTTGGTCTTCTACAAAATTAACTTACTATAATTATGGATTTTATTTGAGAATTTGTCAAAAAAAACAAATTAACTTTTGGTTGAACGGTATTTATTGATTTATATTTTTTTGGATAGATTTATATTGTTTTTTCTTAGTTTGTTTATAAAGTTGATTTGTATAAACTATGAATTACATTTAAGAGAACTCAGCTCTTACTTTAATATACTTGATGCACTTTTTTTAAAACAGTCAATTTTATATTTTGGTTTATCTTTTTGTATAGTGTCGATTTATTATTAAGTTTTGACTTAATTTTGATATATATCAACATATCTTATATTTTTTATTAATTTATTTTATCATAATAAACATATTTTTATGATAAAATTCATTTGTTTAATATAATTATTACGGCTGGCTTTTTATTTTATTTGAAATTCTTGCAAAAATACTCAGAATTGATTTCAAATACAAATATAATCCACAAAATTCTCCTTTTCAACATTAGTCATTTTGTGTTTAAACAATCTTTTCTAAGTTTTAACTATTTATGAAATTGCTATTACTTTAAATTACTTCAAATTATTTTTTTTATTTTATTTTACAATATCCATTGACTGTATAATCCTCATCTTCCTCACTTATTTACGAAAATAACATCATTATCAATTCACCCAATCACTATTTTCAACCAATTTCAAGCTTTAGTTGTACCAATAATCCATTTTTGAGCTTGGATAACTCATTATTTTTCTCATAAACTTCTATTCTTCTATAATCTCTATATTTTTTTCCCAAAACTCTATAATTGGACTATTAAAAAGTTGAAGTTCATAGATATTTCTATTTCCGGCGAGTTGGTCATTTATTGCGATTGAGTTTCTTTATGGTGGCTAGAATCAAAAATCTCGGCTAGTGAAACACGGGGTTTTGAGGCCCTTGTTATACTTCAAAGTAATCATAATCTCCAAATCAGATGTAGTATAGGGTCTTAGGTGTCAATCACACTTGTGGATATTGAGATACAAACAATGTTGTAAGCTAAGTGGAATTGGGGATTATGTTTATGAAATACTGAATCTAGCAACCTAACAATACAATAAAAAGAAAGCAGAAATCAAATGCGAGTAAACAAGGACTAAGCAATGAACTTAAAGCAATAACTAAACAAGAACTAAATGAGAATGACAACTTAAGCAATACTCAAGGTTCTAAGAAATTATGGGATTAGTGGCTTTCAAGAGTAACAAAGAGGATTTCTAGCAAAGGCAAACATCAAGCATTCATAAGCAAGTAATTCTCAATGTTGTACTCTTAGACAATGTATCTAAAAGGAATCAACTTGGCGTCAATAAGCAATTCATATTCAATAAGATTGAAGTGTCAAGCCCACTTGTGATGGTGTATTCTTTAACCATGAACATAAAAATCAGAACCATTCTAGTCTAAGAGAAGTACCAAACAAGTAAACAACTCTCACCCAAGCAAGAATTCACATCAACCTATCAATCTTGTGAACCATATAGGGACCTAGTTAGCTAAGCACCAGTCAAGAATATGGACTTAAGCACACAGTTGGGAAATCCTAACAATGCTAAGCAATGAAGAGGAATCAAACAAAGGCAAGATCTTTCAATGCATACTATCTAACCATCAAGCAAGAATCTCAAAAAAACACTACCTAGCCCTAAGCGAATCATCTAGCAAGGTGAACTATCACTTTGGTGTCACTGAACAAAGAAAACATAGACCAAGCTAAACTATTAAGCCAAATAAGTGAATCATGCATAGAAATGAGATATCAAGCCATCAAGTGAACAATATGCATCAACAATACCATATTCAATCAAAAGGAGCAAGCTTTATGAACAATAATCACTTTGCAAGAGAAGGAGACAACATAGAACAAACTAATCAAGCCTAATCACCCCTTAATCACATCTTAATCACCACTTTCCCTACTTAGAATCCTAAATCTAAGGTAACTAATCATGTTTAATCTCATTTGTTTAGAGTTAAACATGATTAGATGAGATTAATATGCAAAGATAAGAAATCTAAACTACCAGAGTGCTAAAACAAAGATCAGAAGACAAGATTAAATCATGAAAGTGCAAACTTTATTAAAGGAAAGGATTTCTAGAGCAAATTTCCCTTTAATGTTTAAGAACAAGATGAAAAGATATAGTTTTTTATAGATAGACTAAGATGAGATAAAGACAATGTTTTGTGGTTTCTCTTTTATAGTAGGGAACCAAAAGAAGGATAAAAATCTAAAAACAAGATAAGGTCAATGAAAATCAAGTGGTCAACGCGCGGGTAAGTTGCACCGGGGTTGTACGGACGGTGTTATGCTCGATGTACAACCCTGATATGGCTCACGCAGCGCTTATCGGCTTCCTTGCTTGATGCTGGACTTTGATGCAGACCAAAGGTTTGGACTCCTCGAACCGATCCACTTCCTCATGTCCTTGCTCGATATGGAACCAGTCTTTGCAAAGCTCCTTCTTTTACATCTTCTTCGAATATGAGCTACTTTCATCTCCTTCCCAACTCCAAGAACCTCCAAAAACACCTGAAAATCACCACAAACATGCACATATATGCAAATGTATGCATTCCTAAACTAAATGCATGCAATGTTGATTCTAAGTAGAAATGAGTCTAAATTGCTAAACTATAATGCAAAAACAAGGGAAAAGATGCATGAAATGCAGCCTAAAATGCTCTAATATAGCAAGCTATCAACACCTCCACATTTAGCTTTTGCTTGCCCTGGAGCAAACAAACACTTAACATGGTGATGAGGTTTTATATTGTGAACTCTTATCTCTAAAAATGCTAACAATAAATCAAATTGAAGTCCATGTTCTTAATTCTATCTTGCACTTGATGGAAAAATACTTTAAACACTTAGCCACTTTCATCACAAAACAAGAATGATCACAATGTTATCAACCTACACATGCTTATCAAATCAAACAACCTTTTTAACATTCAATTAAGCTCAAACCGTGAATCATGCTTATGCAAATGCAAATGTGTCATTTGGCTAAGGGACAAGGCTTAGTGGACTAAAAATGATCCCACATTCAAACTGGTTTTGGTATTTCAAAGGGTTCTCTCAAGGAAAAGCATAGCTGTGCTTTGGAAAATTTCTAAGGGTCAAAAAACAACTTACACATACAAAGAAAGACTCCCATCTACCCAAGACCTATAAGATATGTTACTAACTCTAGCTAATCAATCTAAGCAACGCCTATGCTACCCTTTTTAAGAAACTTTAAATCCTTTTAGAAACCTAAAAACTCTTCTCTTTCAAGTGCTTTAGAGGACACTTCTTCTTTTGTACTTCAA